AAGGCTGAAGGAATTGGGTTTGTTTAGTTTAGAAAAGAGAAGATTGAGGGGGCACATGATAGCGTTTTCAGGTATCTAAAAGGGTGTCATAAGGAGGAGGGAGAAAACTTGTTCATCTTGGCCTCTGAGGATAGAACAAGAAGCAATGGGCTTAAACTGCAGCAAGGGAGGTTTAGGTTGGACATTAGGAAAAAGTTCCTAACTGTCAGGGTAGTTAAACACTGGAATAAATTGCCCAGGGAGGTTATGGAACCCCCATCTGTGGAGATATTTAAGAGTAGGTTAGCTAAATGTCTATCGGGGATGGTCTAGACAGTACTTGGTCCTGCCATGAGGTCAGGGGACTGGACTCGATGACCTCTCGAGGTCCCTTCCAGTCCTAGTATCCTCTGATTCTACCCTGTGGTGGCTCCCTGGGCCCAGGTCCATTGTGCTGGGTGCTGTATGAACTTGTAACACAGACGTGCTTCCTGCCCTGCAGAGCTCACAATCCACCCGTGAGATAAGGGGAAAGGAACGCAAGGTGTCCCAGAGGTGCTTGAAAATGATTGTAAGTCTCCATGAGAATAGGGATGTTCAATATCGGTTAATTGAATAGTCAATTAACCTCATGAATTCTTATGGGCTAGTCGACTGTTCTATAGTCCCAAGGATAAGGCAGGCAGCCATTGCGCTCCAGCCTCACTCCTGAGGAGCCCCCTGCCACTCTGTGCTGCTGCCTCTGTGCCAGAGGCAGCAGCATGAGGTGCCAGGGAAGAGCTGGTTCGCAGGAGAAGCCAGTTTAAAAAACAGCTCCTCTCATGGAACAGCTGCCTGTCGCCCTAAGCTGCTGAACTGAGCTGGCTGCCTGCCTGGCTCCTAAAACACTTTAAATATAGAGCCGCGGCGAAGATAAGTCCTGGACCTGGTGCAAGCCAGGACTGAGCTGAGCTGCTGGCCAGCCTGCTAAAAAATGTACTGGTGGGTGGAGGGGAGGGAAATGCGTGTAGTCCATAGCATTAACCCTATATGCTTTTGCTGGTCGGTGAATTGACTACACCATTACATCCCTACATGAGAGAATGTGCAAGTCTCCACAGTGCTTTTGGAACCAGCAGCACTGAAATGCAGCTAACTCTGGGGGAGAGCACAGCAGCCAGTGGGTCAGTGACATAAGGGTGCAGGTTGGCTAAGGGCACAAAAGGGGAAAGGGCCCTGCATCTCATCTGCACTTTCAGCCACTTCCCTCTTCGCCATGGAAACTATCCAGGTGGGCTGAAACCAGCGATCTCTGTTAGTGCCTCCAGCCCAGGTGGAACAAGAGCACTGTGGGGTGTAGTGGGGTTGCTGTCTGCTCTGTGTTCCGGGGTCCCGCTGTGATGTGTGATGCCCACTGACTCACTCACATGTTGTGATGTAGTATCAGTACTTCGCTGATTGCTGTGCTTGTGCTGTGGGCTGTGAATGACCCTTACTGGCCTCTGCCTGTGAGCACTGCCCAGCAGGTGGGCTGCCTAAGTCAGGTAGACAAAGACCCAACCGGTCAGACGAGTTGGGGCAGCAAGGGAACTAGGGAACAAAAGACAGGACTATGCAGCACTTTAAAGACTAACAAGATGGTTTATTAGGTGATGAGCTTTCGTGGGCCAGACCCACTTCCTCAGATCTTTAAAGTGCTGCATAGTCTTGTCTTTTGTTTTAGCAAGACCAGACTAACATGGCTACATCTCTGGAACTAGGGAAGTGAGTGTTTGGGGGGAAGGGGCAGTCTTGGGCTGGAATCATGAAGGAGCCAGTCTAAGGAGGGGGATGGAATCTAGGGGCCCAGAGACCCCATTTCAAGGGGTCTGAGGCATCCTGGCCCAGACTCCTGTAGACATATCGGCTGTGTCTACACTGGCATGAATTTCCGGAAATGCTTAAAACAGAATAGTTTTCGTTATAAGTATTTCCGGAAAAGGAGCGTCTACATTGGCAGGCTGCTTTTCCGGAAAAGCCCTTTTTCCGGAAAAGCGTCTGTGGCCAATGTAGACGCGCTTTTCCGGAAAAGAGCCCCGATCGTCATTTTCGCGATCGGGGCTTTTTTCTGGAAAAGACAACTGGGCTGTCTACACTGACCCTTTTCCTGAACAGTGTTCCGGAATAAGGACTTATGCCCGAGCGGGAGCAGCGTAGCTTTTCTGGAATAGCGGCTGGGT